TATTTATTTATAAAAAAAAACGTTGGCGTCACGCGCAGCGATTGGCAGTTTGCCCAGGACTAGTCCATCTATTTTTTTTTAAAAGAGGAGGGGGGAGACGACATTTTTTTATAATGTATGCTGTCTGAAAGTCACTGTAAGCGTGAACAATCAATCAAGAACTGAAATGATTTATCAAATCTTTCCAATGATTGCTAAGATAGAATCCATCTTCTCGGTTGAAATTGTCTCTGTGCTTGTATATGTGGATAGCCTCATGAACGAATCTCTCATGGAAGCCAGATGGCTTACAAAGAACCTCCGTCTTGGAAAAGTCAATGGCATGTGAGCCTACTGAATTAGAACAATGATCTGCTACGGCCGAGGTGTTGGTCCTACCGTGTTTAAGGTCTGCTTTATGTTCACGAATGCGGTCCGAGACATGGCGTTTGGTTTCTCCAATGTATCTACTACCACAGAGGCAACTTAGTTTGTAGACACCAGGGTATTGTATGTCCGGAATCACATCTTTTATAAATAAATAAATAAATGTGCCGTTTTTAAAATACATTTATGCAAACCAACACACCTGATGATGACCGTTTGAGTTATGGTCGAAACGTCGTGAGAATTTTTTATTGTTTTATATACATTTTGTTATTTTGTTGTTTCTCTTCAACGTGACTTTACCGAAAAAACTAAGAATATCATTCAAACTGTTTGGAAGCGTAAGAGGGTGTGGGCAGAACACGTTGCTAGGAGTGGCAGCCAAGGGATGGAATTCTACAATTATGGATTTGAAGCTTTTGTGACTGCAAGGATCCATACTCTTTGGTTCTATTCGGTAAAGTCCCGTAGGTAAAAAATTAAAACAAAAATCAAGACGTTTCGGCCACAACACAAGCGGCCTTCATCAGGTGAAGGGACCAACCTGTCCAGCGGACAGCGTTGGAGTGAAGTGCTTCGTCTCGTTTTGTACAGCTCTGTTTGCTCCAGGCCTCCCAACACTGATGCACGTGCCTCACCTGCTCACGACCCCAGCCTCAACAGACCTCAGCCTCAACAGACCCCAGCCTCAACAGACCCCAGCCTCAACAGACCCCAGCCTCAACAGACCCCAGCCTCAACAGACCCCAGCCTCAACAGACGCCAGCCTCAACAGACCCCAGCCTCAACAGACCCCAGCCTCAACAGACCCCAGCCTCAGCAGACCCCTTTTTTCTGGGGGCCGAATAGAACTTTGAATTCCGTTGGCGGGCAACACTAACAACAGCAACCGCCATTAACCGCGAAGGAGCGAGCGGTGACGTCACCACTGCGCTTGTGCCAGGCTAGATTGCACTTTCAGGACATTATGTGAAGTGTGGAAAGCTCGCTCGCTGGCACAAGGTCACGGGACAGACCCAGGCAGTTGCACCACCTGTCCTCCCTTACTTTGGCAGGCAACAACCACACATTAACCCACACTTTAGCGTTTTAAAATAGCAAAGCAAAAATAATTACGGCTCCCTCCAACTGCACTAATGCAACGCTTGTGCCTGCTTTCCTCCAACACGGTGTTGAAAATTCCTAATTGGATTATTTTGGGTAAGATCGTGTTGGAATAATCAAAATTCGTTAAACATAACCCTCTACCCAGCGATAGAGCCAATCAAAGCAAGGTGTCACGTGGGCACATTTGCTAAGTTAATTAGCAACACCGGAGGGTAATGCCGAAAGGCAATCTAAATATTGTACAATGTATATACTGTACAATTTAAATGTGGCTGATGCCGAGTCGCGATAAGTGTGGTTGTGTGTTGATTGTAGCCCGCGGGCCGTAGGCTCTGCAGCCCTGCTCCGTATGTAGGTACAGTATATTGAACTTCTATCGCATCGTACATAGCCAACCGCGCTAATCGGAGGTGCTCTCTACGTCCCTGGTCGATACACCGTACGCGGTTCATCTGAACCGGTGCAATTTGCAAGGCAAATATTAGCAAGGCCACATTGACTGGTGCATGTCAGTCTGCATGCCCCGACATGCAGGTGTGCTCTAAGTGAAGATGCAACCTCAGGACACATTATTATTCATTTGATTTTTGGGTCAGTAAAATTTGTGTCGTAAACCCTCCTCCACCCGACACAGCCCAGGACTCCCAGCAGCCCGTCCCTGCACAATTCTCAAATTCAGTTTCAGTTTATTTGTTTTGGTGTAGCTCTGTGAGCCATTCCGGCTCTTGAATTGGGTGCAACCACAACAAACAAAAACACGAACAAGAAAACATCTTAAAGTGACTGTGACTGTGCAAACAGAAAATCCATGAAAAAAACAGCAAAATATTCCTGAAAAAAGCACCGTACACCAACGCTGTGTGCAAAAAAATCCCAGTGGGATGCAAGTCAAACAACAACCACAAGAAAACTTAGAACAGGTCCCTGCAGGGTGGGCTGGTAGGAACATTGGAATTTTGCGCAATTTTATTTTTACACCCCAACAGCACGAGATTTCACTTCGTTAAAGTATTGAAAGGGGACGGACGGACGGACACATTAATCTATTGCAGGCTGGTAACTCAGTTTACAACTTCGTTCCTACCAGTATTAAGGCCATCAGTCTAACTCCGTACTGCGGATCGCTCTGCAATATCAACATTGGGGCGTGTGTACGTCACGTGACAACTTGATTAAACGGCTGTGTCGGGTGGAGGAGGGTTTACGACACAAATTTTATTTTCGCGATAGGACCCAAAACTCAATTATGAATCATAACATTGGTCGCCAAAGCGTGCACGTGTTACACTGAGCACAACCCGACTGGGGTTCACACAATTACACACACATGGGCAACACACGGAGCCGCACGACATGGGGCCGCGTGGAGTCGCGACAAGGGGGCTCACGGAGTCACATGGAGCTGCATAGACCCACGTCGAGCCCTCGTGGAGCCAGGTGAATCTACACAAGACAACAGAGACCCATCCACGACATGGAGCCACACGGAGCCGCACCTCAGGTCCCCGGGCAGGCTGGGGTCGTCTCCCACGACGGAGTCCATGGCTCTGCGTATCCTGCACCTCCGTCTTCCTCCCTCCCATCAAACTCCGGAGACGGTGATGAATATTTCTTTTTTTAGATGACGAGAGGCGCAGAGCGATTCCGGCTCGGAGTTGAGTGAGAGGCGATAAGTTTTGTTTACGGCGAGCGGCGGCTGCGCTGAGGCAGTTGCGCGGGAGACGGAATCAGTCCGCGTTCAAACGGCGCCATTTGCGCGAGCAGCACGACGGGAGCGAGACCACGCCCCCGTTACATCTAACCACGCCCATTTCGCAGCTGACCACTCTCCATTTGTAATCGACACGCCCACTTCACGTCTGGTCACGCCTTCATTATAGCTGGCCATGCCCCCTTTCCGGATAGCCACGCCCATCCCTGCAACTGTCCGCGGTCGTTGCTTTCACCATGCACTGGCCACGCCCCCTAAAGACGGCCACACCCCCCTGAGGGCATGGCCACGCCCCTTTGATAGTTGGCCACTACGCCTGTTTGCTTTGACCACGCCCCTCGACGGCATGTGGCTGTTGAGTTGTCGTTTGTGTTGAGTTGTTATTTGTGGTTGTTGAGTTGTTTGTGCTTGCACATCATTGCCAACGCAGGCTCGCCATACGAGGCGTTTACCGGACTCACCTTGACCACGCCCTCCTCATCCTGAGCACGCCCATCCACGATATCCGTTATTATAAACACGCCCCCTCCTTCTCGTCAGCGAATCCGGAAGTCGTGCCCAGTCAGGTTACGCCCCCATGGCTGGCCACGCCTCTAACGCGTGGGCAAGACAAGAGGAGCGAAATTGCAGTTCTTCAACTTCGTTGTCTGCGTCGGGTGGAGGAGGGTGTACGACTCACATTCACTTGACGTGATCTGACCCAATAATAAAGAACGAATGATCATCGCATTGACTGTTTAGAGAAGTGAGTGGCCTTGGGCCGCACACGTCACGGCTCTGCGGGGACGGTGGCCGCTAGCGACAGTGGCAGCCAAAGCGGAGAGAGACGGAGACCACGCTCGAGGGGACGCTCACGGCGGAGACGGAGCCATGAAATCAGCTCGCGGGCAGGAGCGAGACGCGTCGCAACATCACGAGACTGCGAGAGGTGTCGACGGCTTGGGGTGGCCTTCATCGGGCAGTGGATAGACCATCGCCGATGATGATTGATGATGTGGAGGACACGAAACAGAGTTCTTGACGTGGTTCGCTCCTCCCGGCGTGGTCACCCGGGGCAGTGGCGCCCTCTGGCGGCCGCTGAGTGAACAGCAACAGGGATGGAACCGGGACACATTCACCTACGAGGTCTCTCGAGCCGGCCGACAAGACACGGAATCCCGCCCCCCCTCCCCCATTACACGTCTCTCACTCGTATCGTGTGCGGTCTGGTCTCCTCTGCAACAACAACCTACCTGCTGTACTGCTATCGCAGGTGGTCGCAATTATCACGTGGGCGGGCGTTGATGCGGTCAGTCGCGGTACGGGGGTCACTTAGCAACGTGATCATCATCAGTGACACACTCAGCAGAGCCGGCGATATCATACGCAGCAGCAGCAGCGTTATCATAATCACATGCATCATCAGCAGTAGAGGCGTCGTCGTCACAAGCATCATCATAACCAGCAGCATCAGCGTAATGATAATCACAGGCATCAACAGTAGCATCAGCATTCAATGCGAGAAAATGAGCAGCCCCGCTTCGCACAAATTCAACATTGGGTCATCCTTTAGTTGCCCTGGCCCCCGCCATATGAATGTGGAATCGCCGCCGATCGCATTTCTAGTCGTTTCCCTGGTAGGTTGACCCTACCGGAGGTTGATAAGTCATTTGCAGAGAGAGAGCGTGGCTCGGGGTAGAGGCGGGGATATCCATGAAGACTCAAGAGCGCTCGGGAAGGACTGGGAAGACTCAGAAAGGACCGTGAAGAGCCATGAAGGGTTGGGAAGGGCAGGGAAGGAACAGGAGAATTCGGGAAGATCCGGGAAAGCGGTCCGTAAGGCGTAATGTAGGGACTTTATTGGCTTCACCTCACGTGTACAGCACCGTTACACTGCGGACGGAGAGAACGGGCTGTAACCCATCGAGATAATCTGCATCACGGGCATCTTCATCACCCCGCTTATTGCCATCATCATTATGAAACATCACATACATCACCATCACGGATATCGTCACGAACATCATCAACATACATCCTCATCAGATACATCAGCAGCATCATCACGGTTTTCATCATCATCATCATCACATGCGCCACCATTATTATAAGACAACACCATCATTACCGCATGATCACATACATTAGCATAATTAAAAATGCACATCACATACATCATCATTATCACCGACATCATCATTACGCACACTATGACAGGTATAATCAGGGTCATCATCACAAGTACCATGATCATCTTCACTATCATCACAAGTACCATGATCATCTTCACTATCATCATCACAAGTACCATGATCATCTTCACTATCATCATCACAAGTACCATGATCATCTGCACTATCATCATCACAAGTACCATGATCATCTTCACTATCATCATCACAAGTGAGGGTCAGCTTTGAGTTTCTTATTAAACGTCGAGCCATACAAAAATATTCATCATAAACAACAATAAACAACAGCATCAAGCGTGAAATCAATAGTACGGAGTAAACATCTGTACATGGTCCTCTTCTCGGTGGAGCTCGCCTGGACTTTGTTGAAACCTCAGGGAGGGGGCGTCTTAGGGACACTTTGGCGGGGGGAGGGGGCGCAGAGCTTTCTCAGGGTCCCTCTGCGTGTCCGGGCACCGGACGGAACGTTGGCTTTGCCATGAGGGATTCTATGTCGTTGTCATCATCGGCCATGTTGTGTCCTCTGCCAGATGAAGGCCTGCTCAAGCTATCACCGCCTCTCACCATCCTCACGATGCAACAATCTATTGAGCACCTGACCATGGACTGATTTCGTCGCTCCGTTTCCTCGGCGAACGTCCCCTAAAACGCATTCCATTCCTTGGCCGGATTACTAAAGTGTGCGTGGTTGGGCAACGACAATGGGTGATGTGAGGGATGGGACGCTCTTCCCCCCAGTCACAGACTCACACAGAGACACATGGACTCACATGGAGACCCGCAGACTTACACAGAGACTCACTAATTCTCCATCGAATCACCTCTGTCCGTCCACTCCACCCCATGGGTGGATGCAAATACTGGTGGGATAGGAGGTTGGCTGGCTGAATGGTTGACTACATGCAGAGTTTCCTGGCTGCTCGGTAGCTCAGTGGACACCTGTTGCCTGGTCGCCTGGTCACCTGGTTGCTTGGCTGCCCGATTTCCTAGTTGCCGGTTGCTTGCTTGTCTGGTGTTGTAGTCAGCTGATGGTAGACACCTGCTCGTTTAGCTCCCCTGTTGTCCACCTGTCTCCCTGGTTGTCCCCTGGTTACCCAGTGTCGCTGATAGTTGATTGGACACGTGGTTGCCCAGTGTCGCTGATAGTTGATTGGACACGTGATTTCCCAGTTGTCCACCTGTCCATCCTTGACGTTCTTGGTAGCTTGGTTGCCTGGTTAGTTGGTGTGGCAGTCAAGTGAATTGTCCACCTGCTTGTTTGGCTGCCTGTCTCTATCTGTCTGTGTCTGTCTTCTCAATTGTCCATGTGCCCTCCCGGTTGTCCATCTGTCTGTCCCCCAGTTTTCCCAGCAGCCCGGTTGTCCGCCCGGCGGCCCGGTGGCCCGGTGCGCTGTCAGTTGACGGTGGACACCTGTCAGTTGACGGTGGACACCTGTCAGTTGACGGTGGACACCTGGTTGCGCTGCAGGCTGTACTCCTTGGCCTTGAGGCGCAGGCTCGCGATGCTGCTCGCCATGTGCACCCCAGGGCCCGGGCCGCTGCCCGCGCCGCCAGAGCTGTACGCGGACATGGCCCTGAGACGCGGAGACACGCGGTGAGACGACCACGCGGGGACACGCAGGGACACGGGAATGAGGTATGCAGGGAAGGGAGGCGTACAGAAATAGGGTGGAGGGAGCGATAGATGGAGAGAAGGGAAGTATGGATATAGGGTTGCAGTGGAGATGGATATAGGGAGGGAGTTGGGGAGTTGAGTGGGTCAGTGAGGGAGGGGTAGATGAATGGGGGAGGGATGAATATGGGGAATGAGTGAGTCGGTGAGTGAGCAATGGAGGTGGGGATAGGGGAAGAAGGGGATCTCTCACCCCCCACCCCACTCCCCCTCCCCCCCGCGGTACCCGTAGGATGCGGCCGAGGCGGGAGGCCAGGAAAGGAAGTCTGGCGCGGCGAGGGGCGCAGGCCGGGCGGCCATCGGCTGCTCCACCGCGGCCTCGCCGCTCGCGGCGAACACGCGGCCCGCACTGCGCGTGGCCAGCAGCGCGCGCTCGTTCCGCCGGAACTTGGCGCGGCGGTTCTGGAACCACACCTGGGGAAGACACACACACACCTGAGCCACGTAGAGACACAACAACCGCCATTCGCCACTAAGTGGCAGTGACGTCACCACGGTGCCTGTGCCAGGCCAGGTGCACTTTGAGGCCACGTGAAGTGGCGAAGGCTCGCTGCTGACAGGAGGTCACGGGACGGACCCAGGTCCCATGGTTTGACTGACCGTGATGACTGGCAGATGTATCACCTGTGCTCCATCTCTCTCTCCTACCCCCCCTGCCCCCCCCCCTTCTCGTCACCCCCCCCCCCTCCCTCGACCCCCCCCCCCCAACCTGCACGCGCGCCTCGCTGAGGTTGACGCGCCGCGCCAGCTCCTCGCGCACGAACGCGTCCGGGTAGTGCGTGCGCTCGAACACGCGCTCCAGCGCCGCGAGCTGCGCGCTGTTGAACGTCGTGCGGTTCCGCCGCTGCTTGCGTCGCCTCTTGGCCTGCTCCGAGCCCAGGGCCTCACCTGGAGGCCAGGGCAGAGGGAGGTGGGAGTGCAGAGAGATGGTGGAAAAAGGAGGGCAGAGAGAAGGGACGTTAACATCCACGCGACTGCTCACCAGAAGCAACACAAGAGCATCGTTTAGCCGTATAAGGTAGACATCTTGAACAGAGAGGGAGGAGGGAGAGCAAATGAGGGAGAGGGAAGAGTGGGAGTTGAGGTCCGGCATCAGTGAAGCCACGACACTCAGCTCTGATTCACTCACTCAACATCACTCAGCACTCACTCCACGCCCACTCACGAACAACACGGTAACACTCGGAAGTACGTAGAGACGCATCAGCAACCCACTTTACTGATTTACTTCGATTCATAAGTTTGCTCATTTATCCACGACACCCACACCGAGTCAAGGGACTATAGTTTTTCAGGAGGCTCCTGCTGCTGCTACATAGTTTTTTTTATTCGATTTCAGCCAATTCATGACGAGTCGTGTTTATTATTATTCACGTGGGGAGGAAACCGGAGCACCCGCAGATAACCGCATGCCTTGAGCGAGGGGGAAACTCTGTATCCCTGTACAGAGGGAATAAACAGATGGCGATTATCCCACTTACTGTACCGCCTTTGTCCCGGCGAGCGAGCGTACGGCTCCTCCTCGACGCCCACCCACGTGAAGCGGGTTACACACCCCATCTGTGTGTGATCCACCGGCCCTCGCTTCTGCCTCCACCACGCTGGGTTACACAGACCACGTGCAGCAGCGTGGGCCACCACCATCTCCCGGTTAACCACCGCCTCCCGGTTAACCACCACCTCCCGGTTAACCACCGCCTCCCGGTTAACCACCATCTCCCGGTTAACCACCGCCCGGCTAACCACCTCCCGGGCTCCACAGAGCTCCTGGGTCGCAAAAATCCCTGCGTAAAACACCGACCCCTCGCCTGACGATGCATCAGCCGCGATCTATCCACTGCTGGATGAAGACCTCCCCGAGCAGTCTGTCTCACCGTCACGCGATGCAACCGTCCATCAGGCTTCTCGCTCACGGGTGGGTTTCATCGCTCCATCTCCACGCTGCCTTCACCCCCTGTTCCGTTATCATTGTTTTAAAAGTCAGAATGACTTCCTACTCACACGGTGCGCATCTCCCGCTGACAGCCCTGCAGAGCAAGTGGTGGACATTCCACATTCATATGGTGGGGGGTGATGGAGTCTCTCCAAAGGAGCACCACTTTATGTTTCCCACAAAATGGTATGTATTTTACCGACCCCCGAAAGGAAAGACTGGGTGATGATGGGCTGAGTCAACCCATGCCTCCACCAGGAATTTAACTCGCAACCATTTTCTGATTGAGAGCCGCGCTCTGTGGCGCCGAGCAGCCCTCGACACACCGGTCACTGCCATCGACGCGACACCTGCCACGCTAAACGAAGCTCAACCACGCTTATAGCTGACACGACAACAGCAATAATAGTAACAATAATTGATGTTATAGCTGCTGTGTGATCATCAAGGTTACAGCTATTATAATATTGGCACGTGGCCGCGGGGACACGTGATGGATGGAGTGAGCGACGCGCAGCGGCACGTGTTTGGACGGGGGGGCAGGGCGGGAGGGGTGTGGGGGCAGGGGGTTGGGGAGCAGAGGTGGGAGACGGGGGGAGCCAGGGAGACTAAACTAGATACGAGATACTGTATACGATTCATCATCATGGGCCATGGTTTATCCACTGCTGGATGAAGACCTTCCCACGCCGCGATCCGCAACTGGATGTTGACTTACCACCATAAGCAGGAACACATCCACATGAAGTGACAGCCCAGATATTTCTACCGCCACGGGTTTAAGTACGGTCACTGCGAGAGCGTAACAAATCTATGGATATTCTAGCTGTGCAAGCCCATGGGTATCTGTGAGATTCCGTGGGTCTCCTTGTGAGTCTATGTGTCTCTATGCGAGTCGGTGGGTATCTATGCAAGTCAATGGTGACCGGGCTGAAGACCATCAACCCGCTACACATGGTATGTATGTTGAACTTCTTTCGCACCGTGTGTCGCCAACCGTGCTGATCGGAGGTGAGGGTAATCGCAGTGGTTGGGACTGCAATCTGGATGCGAACCGAGGTTCCCATCGGTGCCGGCTCCGCGGCTCTGCCCTCGGAGCTCTTTCCTCTCGCTGAAAGCCACTCCATTCCTCGATGTTATCACTCCACGCCTGTCACCATTCTCCGCTCTTCCGAGTCGTGTCGTGGTTAGCGCACCGTGGGGAGTGGTGGCACAGTGATCGAATATTTGAACCGTTACCGAGCCTCCTCTAGGTCGATTCAGCCTTAAATGAGGATTTGGTGGGTTATGCAATCATTGGCGCTGGGGAGACAAAGGCGGCCGGGCATGGTGCTGGCCACCCACCCCCTCGTTTGCTGTGTCGGCCTTCATAGGTGGTACTCGCTAACAGCACTTGCCCCAACAGTCTGTTAAAGGCTATACGGGGGATATTTGTCATTGTCCTGTCGTCTGCTCGCCGAGGGGAGGCGCCCTCTGCTGACTCGTGCGCCACGAACCACGCGCGCAGTGCCGCTTGCTGCTGGCCGCTTGCCGTGTTGTGCCCGTGCTCAGCAGCTCGCGGATCGTGTCGGCTCCTAATGAATCTGATGACAGTGACTACAAGAATGTACGGTCCTCTGTGATTCCACTGCTAGATGAAGTCCTCTTGTGCAAGGAGTGCGGTGGGTGGGCAGGACCGATTCAGATATCACTCGCCACTGATGTTAGCCGTGGCCGGGAATCCAACTCGGGTCACGGGGGGCTCAGAGCGCAGCGCGTGATCCACCCCCTCATGTACCGTGCCGGCCTTCATAGGTACTACTCGCTAACAAGACTTGCCCCAATAGTTTATTGAGGCTATACGTGGGATCTTTACATGTGTCTTGGTGGCCACGCTGCACGTGGCGGCCTGTCATCCAGCATTGCGGAGGCGGAGGCAGCGAGCGTTGGTGGATCACACGCAGATGTTGCTCCGTGGTGGGCGTTCGGGTGGAGCCGGATCCTCCTCACTCGCCAGGAGGAAGCGGTACAACAAGTGCGGACTCATCTCCTTTGTTCCGTCTCGAGAGTGTTGCCCATTCGCCCACGTGCGGGTTCTCCGGGTGATACGTTTCCTTCCACGCGTAGAAACACTCCATTGACGGGACATATCGAACTATATAGAGAAGCGCAGAGCTTGGGCAACTGACAGTAGCGAGGGTCCGCCGCGTGGCCGCTCCCTTCCAGCTTTGCCCGTGGTCCTGCGGCGAGCGAGATGCGAGTTGCGCGAACGTCGACATTGTAAGACTCACAAAGTCGTCTCATTAACATAACGGGAGGAATGACCGCTCGCAGAGTCGCGTCGTCTTGTTATCATTCCGCTCCATTAGCCAGGGGAGCCTCGCTGAGTCTCGGGACTCTCTCTCGGAAGGGTCCTGCTAGGATTCGCAGTCGGGGGCGACGTCGCTGCTTCTGCTGCTGTGTGCGATCCCAGCCGAGGAGGTTTGGCCCCAGTGCACGCGCTGTGAGCCCCGCAGCGCCTGCAGCAGCAGCAGTAGTATCAGCTGATGAGCCGTGTTCACTCTCCAGCAGCAGCTGATGAGCCGTGTTCACTCTCCAGCAGCAGCTGATGAGCCGTGTTCACTCTCCAGCAGCTGCTGATGAGCCGTGTTCACTCTCCAGCAGCAGCTGATGAGCCGTGTTCACTCTCCAGCAGCAGCTGATGAGCCGTGTTCACTCTCCAGCAGGTGCTGATGAGCCGTGTTCACTCTCCAGCAGCTGCTGATGAGCCGTGTTCACTCTCCAGCAGGTGCTGATGAGCCGTGTTCACTCTCCAGCAGCAGCTGATGAGCCGTGTTCACTCTCCAGCAGCAGCTGATGAGCCGTGTTCACTCTCCAGCAGGTGCTGATGAGCCGTGTTCACTCTCCAGCAGCAGCTGATGAGCCGTGTTCACTCTCCAGCAGCAGCTGATGAGCCGTGTTCACTCTCCAGCAGGTGCTGATGAGCCGTGTTCACTCACCAGCAGCAGCTGATGAGCCGTGTTCACTAACCAGCAGCAGCTGATGAGCCGTGTTCACTCACCAACGGGGTCTCCGAGATCTTCGTATCGCCTTCTTCTCAAGTCTTCGAGCTCAAGGCTCTGTCCCTGCAGCTCCCAAGCGTTGAAGCTCTTTGCCTTCGCCAATTAACAAGACGACAGAGTCGTGAGCTATGCACTCGCCTCTTCAAAGTGGCCTTCACCGCCGCCTAGTCCTGCCGTTTAGCCCGCAGGTTCTGCGGGCTTTCCTTACACGGTGGCGCATGGGGATCTTCAGGTTAAACGCGCTTTACAAATGTATACAATTATACATCATTATTATTAGTAGTAGAACCGTGGAGCGGTGGTGCACAGGCGATGTCTGTAGTCGTGTCGCCGCTGGGTGGTGTCGCTGTGCGCGCTCCACCGACGTTAGGACCACGTCACGACGCGTCGGCCACAGCCGTGGGCTGTCTGAAGTCGTGGAGGCGAGGGAGGGATGAGGTGGAGAGAGGAGGTGAGAGGGAGGGGAGATGAGAGGGCGGACATAAGGGAGTGAGTGGGAGAGTGAGTTTGTGGGTGGGTTGGTGAGTGAGGGAGTGAGTTTGTGAGTGGGTCGGTGAGTAAGGGAGAGTTAATTTATGATTGGGTCGGTAAGTGAGGGAGTGAGTTTGTGAGTGAGTCGGTGAGTGAGTGAGGGAGTGAGTTTGTGAGTGGGTCGGTAAGTGAGGGAGTAAGTTTGTGAGTGGGTTGGTGAGTGAGGGAGTGAGTTTGTGAGTGGGTTGGTGAGTGAGGGAGTGAGTTTGTGAGTGAGGGAGTGAGTTTGTGAGTGAGTCGGTGAGTGAGGGAGTGAGTTTGTGAGTGGGTTGGTGAGTGAGGGAGTGAGTTTGTGAGTGGGTTGGTGAGTGAGGGAGTGAGTTTGTGAGAGGGTTGGTGAGTGAGGGAGTGAGTTTGTGAGTGGGTTGGTGAGTGAGATAGTG